GCACAACGATTCACGGCAACAAAATTCCGAGCAATCAAGCACAGGGTGACAGTGGAGAGGATTGTTCGTTGTCAGGGGGGTTACACCAGTGCCTAATCCTACTGATGAGGTTCGACTCTTGGCCCAAGCTAAAGGACATTTCATTTTGTGGCCAAAGAGACTTATTACAAAGCCAATAGTGAAGAAGGCGGCAGCAAAGAAGGCCACAACGAGCGCATCATCTGATCCTGTACTTTGCCTCTTCCTAGTGATGTTGCGCTTATGTTTCCAGTTTGGAGGTTCTTCATTCCATAGTGCCAAACATGGATAAGCCTGTGACTTTCAAGATGCCGTGGGGGTTGTGGTTCAATATACATACGACTTCACCATTGACAAGAAGGACCTCGTTCAGTTCCTCAACTTTGAGGAGCTTGATATAGCCTTCATGCAGCTTGCTATTTTTGTAAGTTACAATATCATTTTCTTTATATATTATACTTCATGCATGTCTAATGTTTTTTACTTGAACAACAGGCATTTTAATCAAATCTGTCGAAACGGAGGACTTGAAAGACATATGGCTTTATGTGTCCTCAAAGGTTGCAAAAAGAATTTATAACTGTGGAAGCAAGGTCAATCTACATTATGACCGTAAATGAGTCAGACCAAAAGCAAATATATTTTGCACCTTACGTGGAAGGGTAAGTGTATTATGTATTTGAGATACAAGTTGTATGTGTCGGGTTATAATTAACATGATTTGCCTTTTGCAGTTATCATTGGACTCTAATTGTTTGTGCCCCTTTTGACAACAAAGTTTACTAGTTCGATTCACTCTGTGGAAGTCCATCGAAGAAACAAAGATGTCATCGACACGTTAGTTTTTATTTATATATTTATACTTGTGAAGTTTATACAAGCATGCTCTAATATCATTTTCTCTTATAATGTTGATAGGGCTTTCATAGTTTTAATGTCGTGGCGATTAAAACAAAATAGACAAGCACCAACATGGATTCTTCCACAGGTATATGTTGTTTTGAACTAACTTTTAAACATTTTTGATGAATTAAAGTTAATGTTTATAATCAATAATGTCTAATATTCAATTTATATCTTATTTTTAAGTATCGTTGTCAACAAGGACATGTTGAGTGTGGATATTATGTCATCCGCTACATGAATGACATAATTGAGACAGGAACGACTGAGAAATTAAACGAGGTAAAGATGATTTACGTTGTATGACGTTCTTCAATTTATTTCACATTTTTGACTAAGTTTACTATGTTATTTTTGATTAAACAGATATTCAAAATACTGCGCCATATCTCATGGATGACATCAACTTGATGAGGGACACTTTGTCAACAACATTGGTAGAAAAAATTGAAATTTAGCTTTCAAATAGATAGGTTATTTGTCAAAAAATTCATTGTTAGATGCTTTCTCTCGGTTCCCTCTTATATTGTTCATGATTTCCATTGTACAAAGAAGTAGTTACTTCTATTTCAGGAATTGTTGGACCTAGCTAGCCAATACGTGTTCCTTGGTTACCACTTAGTTCTATTATGTTGGCCGGTTTCCCTATTTCGAATTGTGTAAAAAAAAATTTCATTGCTGTATATTAACTAGCTAATTGATCTTGTTCTGCGGATCTGCACTGCCTACATTTGTTTGGAGCTGTAAACTGCAGGGTGGTAAACACGAAAATTTCGCAGAATTAAAAAAAAAAAAAAAAATTTAACGGCGGTTATACATATAACCGCCGTTAAAACCCTTTTCCACGGCGGTTAAAAAACCGCCGTGCTTTCCTTGCCTTTCAACGTCGCCTTTAACAACTACGCCTTCAAAACCGTCGTTAAAACCACTTTTAACCGCCGTTAAAAAGCTTTTTTCTGGTAGTGTGTACCTCCAGTTCTTAATATAAGACATTATCTTATTTTTATTTAGTCTTAAATATAATATCTCAATCCATTTTGTCTCTCATATTTATGTATTTTTTTCTAAGATAGTCTTTTTAACAATGATAGTTCAAGCCAAGACGCTTAATTAGTGAGGATATTTTAGGAAAGACAAACACCTACTTATTACAATAACTAACTTAATTCTTTCCATAATCTCTTCAAATTAGTTAACTAGCTTTTATAATTAGGAACGGAGATGGTATTAATAAGACATGCTGGCTCAATAATCATTCTTAATTTATGATGTAAGTGATTAGGGGGCTGGGCTGGAAGCCGCCGGGAATTCTCCGGCAAAGAGTTCTTCTTCTTCTTCTTCTAACAAATGCAGGTATATGCGCCTTTTTACTTGAATTTCATTACCGAGAAGACTATAGTTAGCAACAAAATTGTATGGCTAAACTGATTTATCAACAAATTTTATTGCTAATTCACTGTTTGAAATGATAGTAAGACCATTCAAGAATTACTTTTTATCATAATTTACATAATATGAGTGAAGTATTGTAAAAAAGAACTCTTGACAAGCCTAGATCAGGTTTTTATGGCCAGGTTCTCCCCTCATTACTTTATACTCCTCTGGTTCTTAATATAGGATCCAATTATTGAATTAGTTTGGTTCTAAATATAGACCCATTTTTCATATTTATCAATTTTTCTAAAGTACCCCTATGGATACTCCCTCAATTCATCAACCAGATCAGTGAAGAGGGAGAGGTATATAAGAAAGATGATTATGGTATTTTAGGAAAAACGTGTTACATTTCTTATAATTAACTAACTTACCTAACTTCCTTAATCTAATCAATTAGTTGAATGAGTCTTATATTAAAGACTGGAAGAGTATTTCGGTGAACTCTCGTGCCCTTCCCTTCGAGGCGTATATGGAAATCCCATGTGTAATAGAACCACCCTTCCAACTTATTTGGGCATGTTTGAATTGGGGGAAAAAAATGATTTGGTAATTTAGAGAATAAATTTTCTCAAAAGCTTAACGATATTGCTTTTCCACAAATCATGGTTTCAACTCTCCAAACCATGATTTTTAGTTCATTAATTACTTTTTTTTAATGATTTTTTTCGAATTTTTGGATGGAATCCCCACAAAACATTGATTTTTGCTTCAAAAGTGGTTGTTAGAGTGGTCACAAAAAATACACAATTATATATATTAGATATTACGAAAAATGATTAAAAAAATACCTGTTGATTTCAAAATGATAATTAGATTACACTGACTATTCTTGTAATAGTTTTGACTATTATTGTAATGATTTTTATATATCAAAATCTCTCAAAATCACCTATTTATCATTTAAAATTTAATAAGCATTTTTGGTCATTTTTTCCTGAAATTATTCACACATGATTCTAAAATGATTACAAAAACATTCTAGTTATTATGCCTAACTCCTGTCTTTAATATAAGAATTAGATAAGAAATTTAAGTAGATTAAAAAAATTAGTTAAGTTGGTTAATTATAGCAAATATATGTTAACTAATTTCTTAAACTACTCTCTTTAATTGTGTACATTAAAATTATTGTACATTGAAATTATCTCTTAGTGGAAACCCCTTACAATTAATAAGGATATTTTACCCAAAAAAATTATAAAATCCAGAGAAAAATATATTAAAGTATTATACTTAGTATCAAATATAATGTCCAATTAGTTTTTATATTAAGTGCTTGAAGTAGTAGTATGTTATACTATCTCTGGTCCTAATTATAAGATCTCGTTTATAGATTATAAACGAGATCTTATAATTAGGACCGGAAGTAGTACTTACATATGTTTGTTTATTTCAAATGAGGTTTCTATGGGTCAATGTAAAACCTTTTTTTCTTTTTAAATATTCTTTCTACTTCATCTCGCGTTGACATATATTTCAGAGGGATCTAGTTTGGATATTCCATATTTTAAAATAAGGAAATATGTTTACATCCATTTTGAAAAATAAATAAGATTATTGTGTATTTTAATAAAAATATTTTTTTAAAGAACTTGATTTTTTTTCCCGACATTATTCTAATTTCTTAACATAAAAGCTGTTTGGTTTAATTTACCAAATTTCTTAGGAAATAAATTTTCCAAGGAATACAGGCGGCATAGTTTCCAAGAGGTTTATAGTTGATTGCTTGATTTATATATACTTCAATTCTATTCTATGAAATAAATTAATCCTTCTAAATAAATAAGTTTTTTTAATACCTTTTGTTTTATATTAATTAAAACATGGTAAAATACAAAGGAGCCTATTACAAGAAGGTACACTAATGCTTTGATATATATATATATATATATATTATTTATATGTTGCTTTCCCACAATGTGGTTAAGATCATCATGATGGAGGGGCGTATATACATGGACTAGCCTGAATTGAATTAGTCATCAATGTAAGGTCTAGTCTAAAGAAGATCTCAATCTATACAAGGGAGCTTATGATTTGGTCTATTCCAGTAGATACTTGAGGTTGGGTTGGATTAGACTTGATTAGTCAGATTGTTTGGACTAGTCCGAATAATCCCGGATCTCAATTTACTATTTTTTTAAAAAAAAATTCAAAGATAAGATTTTAACTTGGTAAACATGATCTAAGAGAACAATAATCATATAAAACTCATCCCAAAACATTAAAACTTAATTATAAATCTATAGGAATGTCCAGTAATACACAACAACAGTAAAAAGAAACATTGAAGTTATGAAATATGGAAGGAAAAAAAAAATCTAGTCTAATCACTTGTTCTATAACTTGGTTCAGGGCGACCAGCTGTCATGGTCTTGTCTGGTTTTATTATGGAGCTTATTCCAGAATGAACCAAACGGTATTTGCTAACTCAGTAACTCCTATGGTCTGGTGACTGTTGCTTTCCTTTCTGCTCTGTTTCGGCCAAGATCTTCTATAAGCAATGTTAGATTCTTCTGCGACGACCCACTTTCTTCGACGGCGGCTTTCGCCTTCTTCTCCAGCTCTTTCACTCTCTTCCTCATCTGTTCCGCTTCATCTCCGACGTCCATTATCTTCTTCACTGCCTTCTCTATCCGATCCCTACTCACCACCTTCTTCCTCTCGTGCCCGGCGGTGACGGTCCACTCCTCTGACCCGACTTCTACTCCGATCCCATGCACCTGGGTTATCAGCTTCTCGTTGTAGAACTGCTCCGCCGTCAACGGCCATGTTATCGTCGGAACCCCTGCACATATCCCCTCCATCACCGAGTTCCACCCACAGTGGCTCAGGAACCCTCCAGTCGCCTCGTGTTCCAGGATCAAGGCCTGGGGGGCCCATCCCTTAATGATCATCCCCCTCCTCTCTCTCTTCATCACCCTATCTTTGAACCCCATCGGCAGCCATTGGTCATCTTCATCATTCTGATCTTTCCTGAAAACAACCCAGATAAAAGGGTGGCCTGAAGATTCAATCCCAGAGGCTATCTCGTGTAATTGTGTATCAGAGAAGAAACACGAACTTCCAAAGCAAATGTAAACCACTGAGTTCGGTGGCTTCGAGTTGAGAAAGTCCAAGCACTCATGGTCGCTCACCATGCTCTTCATCCCCCTCTCAGATTTCTCTTGATCGGTTTTGTTCACCAGAAAAGAAGGTCCCAGATGATAAATCTTATAGCCCATGATTTTCTGGTAATGTTCTTTGTATTCCTCTTCAATCTCGACGAAACCGTTTACCAAGCGACCATAGCTCTTCAACTCGGCCCCTCTGAACTTTTCCATCATCATCCCGAAACTGTCAGGTGTTTTGACGTAATCCGGAAGCTGGCATAATGTCATGGTGATCGGGTGAGGAAGACCCGGTATGAGAAACGGGTCGGACTCAGACTTTGCTTTGTGGTGGGGCGAGTCGGGTCCTCTCACAGCCTCAATCAAAGAGACGGCAAAAACAGAGTATCCGTCGAAAACCAACCTGGGAATTTGCAATCGGTTGGCGAAGTCGGAGGTCCAGGGGAAGAAGGAGTCAGATACAATGCAATCGGGGGGGTCAGATTCCATGAAATCCTCCATACGCTGCTGGAGGATGCCGAAGGCTTGAAAGAACTTGAGAACGCTATCGAAGTCGGTGGCCTGGAAGAGATTCTCAAGACCGTCGGGCAAACCCACCTCTCTGGAAGGGAACTGAACACATTGAAAACGAAGAAGATGACTGTAATCGGAGACCGAAGACTGAAGAGACGAGCGTTGGAAGGGGTGGTAAGGATTGTCACGTGGTGGCCACGTGCGACAAAGAGACGAGAGAGCTCGAACAGAGGAACCATATGGCTTGGAGTGAGGAAGGGGATGAAGTAGATTTTCAAAGGGGAAGAAGAAGAAGACGACTCCATTATTGGATTCTTGAGACTTAGCTTCCACAATGGGTACGTACATGCCACTCTCTATTTTATGCGGGCATTTGTACGGATCAGAGGTACTCGTGGAGCTCGCATGCAAGAGCCTCTAAATATTTTACATGCACGTGGGAACATTTTTAAGGGTTTTTTTTTAATTCATCCTATTAAAGTAATCTGAAGGTAATTTGAAATTTCGCTATATTAAAGTAATGAAAATGGTGAGACAGAAATTTAATTGAAGGGAAGATCCGCGGAACGCACGAGTTTGGGCTTTAATTTGTATAGGCTTTTTTTAACATATATACCATAAACAGTAATTTATTTTACTCAGATATTATAGCATGAAAAATATTTACTGAGATACTATACTTCAAAATCGTTCAAGCAGAGATTGAGTTTAAATTTATAAAGAATCCGTTCTTACTAAGAATAATTCAGTGAGTCTCACATTAAAAATTGTAGAACTTGTTCTTATAAAAACAAGCTCAGTGGATCTCATCTTAATAAGTGAAGTTGTTCACACCTTAAACAATTTGGTTTTGTCTTCTAGTGTCATTGTGTTTTTTTCTTCTTCAACTCCTTCGTCTTTCCATTATTCTTCCTCCTCTTTAGTTTCTTCCTTCTTTTGTAAGAGAGCTGGTGGTGTGTGCTGCTTTCTTGTATCCATGTTGTTTCAACTTAAAATTTGATTGTTTTTATTTGATTAAGTACATTCTCTTTATTAAATTTTTTCTTAATTTTTACATGTATTTTCTTACATAATGGGAAGAATTTTATATTTAGTCACTTTATATATTGAGTTTGTTTAAATTTTTATATTTAATCATTTTTATATGTTGCCTTGTAGACCTTGTATACATTGAATTTTAAGTTTGTCTATAGTAAAAACAATTCTTCAAATACTACATAGTGGGAATTGAGTTTGACTATAGTATTTGGAGAAATATAAAATTCAATGTATACAAGGTCTACAAGGCAACATATAAAATGATTAAATATAAAATTCTACTCATCATTTAAGAAATACATATAAAAATTATAAAAAAAGTTAATCAAAAGAATTTACCTTAATTAGATAAAAAAAACAAATTTTAAGTTGAAACAAATCAGATTATAAGAAACAGCACACACCACCACCTCTCTTACAAAAGAATCAAAAAACTTAAAAGGAGGAAGAATAATGGAAGGACGGAAGAGCTGAAGAAAAAAAGACAATGACACTAAAAAACAAATCAAAGTTGTTAACTACTTCACTTTTTTAAGGTGGGATCCATTGAATTAGTTCTTAGTAAAAACGAGTTCTACAATTTTTAATGTGGGACTCACTGAACTCGTTCTTAGTAAAACGAGTTCTTTATAAATTTAAACTCGATCTTTGCCTGAACGATTTTGAAGTGTGTATTTGGATGAATATTTTTTATGCTAAGATATCTGAGTAAAATAAATTACTGTTTATAGTATTTAATTATCTAAAAAAGCCCTTTGTATTTGTAGGGTATGGCAGAAGGAACATGATCAAAATGAAAATGGTGAGGCAGACAATTTAATTCAATGAGAATGGTGCGTGGCATGAAATTTTACAGACCTTGATCATGATTTTGAATCTTTGAAGTCTCATGTTCACAATCCTCATTTTGTTCCTTTACTTCTTTCCTTTTTTGTGTTTCATGATATATTAAACTTTTGAGAATTAATTATATACTTGGTTTAATTTGTACCTTAAGCCATTTGACAGCATTTATCTTTAATACTACCTCTGGTCCTAATTATGAGAGTTAGTTGACTAATTTGAGGAGTTTAAGGAAATAAGTTAAGTTAGTTATTTGTAATAAATATGTGTTGTCTTTCCTAAAATATCTTTGCTAATCAAGTGTATTGGGTGGAACTACCATTATTAAAAAGACTATCTTGGAAGAAAATACATAAATATGAGAGACAAAGTGGATTAGGGTCTTATATCTAAGGATCAAAATAAAAATCAAACGAGGTCTTATATTAAGGATCGAAGGTAGTATTATATATATTTAATTCATTCTCCAATTGGTGAATGTGAGACTTTTAATGTGTTCCGAAAAATATCATTTTCAACTTCTTTTTTTAGTTTTATACTCAATGTATCCCCATGTTTTTTTATGCTTACCATAATAAATTTCTAGTCATTATAATGTATTCATGAAGTATCACTTGAGAATTTATAAGGCTAGATACTAATTGTGTATTGGGCAAAACTTAACTCATTTTATCTCTTATATCTATTTTTTTAAAAAAATTAATTTAAAACTGATACATAATCTAATGTGGGATACTTTAACAAAATTGCATCGCATTTTTTTATAATTAATTCATTTGAATTTCTTAATCCACCCAAGTTAAGAAATTCATATTAATTCAGAGGGATGATTTTTTTTAAAAAAAAAAAGATACGAATTTGATTTCCAAGACTGCACATGGTTAAAAGGCGTTTAGATTACCTTTTTGAAAGTGATTTTACATATTAAAAAAAAATTTCTCAGCTTACATAAAAATATTTTTTAAGTGAAACTCCCATCAGTACGAGTCTGCAAAAGCCTAATTTGCTATCCATACGCGTGTGCGTGATCCCTGGTTTATACATGTACGCGAAGGCTTGGCGATGATCAACATGTATAAGTATGACTTGTAAAGGCACATTGTAAAACTATTTGAAAGGATTTTGAATAAATTTAAGATCAATATATAATAATTGTATAAATTAATGTTAAATGACATTTATAAATGAATAGAGTGACTGGAGAAGGCTCATTATGTAGCCACGGAAGAAATACGAGATTCTCCATCTTTTCTAGTTTTCTCATGTAGTTTTATGCGTTTGCATCCAAATGTAATTGGGCCAAAGTCCGTAAATATGCCTACAAAGAGAAGACAAAAACGAAACTGTGAAAGCCCATTGGAAGCCATAGATCGTCTCATCATTGTTGCCTTGTTGGGCGTTTTGTTTTTTGACCTGAACATCACTGTTGGGTTCACAAAAGGTCCAATTTGCAAACTCACATTTAAGAGACCTAGGGGGCATTTGATATCACATAAAAGCACTTTTCTATAAATCATCTTTGAAACCATGATTCGGTTTTCATCTAACCATCCCTTACGCTTGTTTCAAACGGTCAAATTTACATAATGCTAGAGAGTTTTGTCTTGATTTGCATCCTATAAAAGTTATGGAGATACTAATGAGACATAAATCAATGGGTAAGCATCAAGTGTAACCAGGAAAAATCAACACAACATGTATACATATCAATAAACACCATAGTTTCTCGGACCTTGCATTATTATAACAATTGAGAGAAGCATACAAAACACCCCCCCAAAAAAAAAAAAAAAAAAAAAACCTTGATTCCAAAATAGTCATCAAGCCACTTTAAATGAAAACTATATTCCCTGGTTCATGTCTTTCGCTCTAGATAAGTTAAATCTACGGGCAAACATATAAAATCCAGACAACGAGTAGCAACTCAGCTCACAGCAGCAATCAAAGGACAGAATGTATGATAAAGATACAAGTCATAAATCATATATCACAGCAGCCAGAATGCACGGAAGGATCATTCACTAGCAAGTAAAAACTGTGAGGATCTTGCAAATTCCATCAAAATGGTGTAAATAACGCCAGCAGAAAGAAAGACATTACACCAACACACAATGGAGAGGACATTTACAGCTTGAACATGCTGTCACAAGGGAAATCTAATCAAACATTCAAGGTACTCCAGACTGTGGAGTAAGCAACAGCTGTCCGAGGAATTTTTCAACTTCAACACCTTTGTTACACTATGTATCGCAGGCTAAGAAGCACTATTCTTAAGTCAAATGCAATCAGATCAATAAAAAAATGCAGAAGTACTGGGTAATGAAAACCAATTCCTAACACAGAGCTCGGGAGAAAATGACGTTTTAACAAGAATAGAACAGAATTCCCGAGGTAATTAGTATTCAGGTCTGGTTATTAAAAGTGTGCAAAGATTACAGGCAAAACGACAGATTTAAATAGTAGACTGAGTTTGGAGAAAATCTCTAATAAAAAGTCATAGATATGATTAAAAAAAAAAACCTAAATTATAAACTTGAAACAATCAATTGCAGGATCAGGAGATAAGAGCAGAAAACACTCCGTTCAGATCCCAAATTGCTCCAAAAAGAAAACTTGTGAAATCAGTTCGGTAATCCTACTCATCTGCGTTATTAAGATGACGTCGTCAACTGCAAGACAGTTGAATGGGGTTTTGGAATCAAATTCTCTCGAACCAAAACCATATCTTCATAAATAACATCTTAATGGTCAAATTCATCTGAAGTATTAAACAGTAATCATCCATCAAAATGATCGAGTAATCATCATATCTCCAATAAAAACGACACATTTGGCAGTTTAAATCACGAAATTAGCATATAATCCAGATAGTTCCAAGGATAGATTATAAAACACTAAATACCAATCAAAATTTCCTTCGAAAGAAATACTAAAACACGAAACAAACAAGCATTGTTCAAGTCCCCAATCCTCACGACACTAAACGGCGCCATTGTTACAGGAAAGCAACACTCAAAACCTAAGCTTGGTGAAGAACCACCTGTTCTTGCCGGTCTTGAACCTCTCCTCAAACCTCTTCTTGGTCTCCTTCAAGGCGGTCACCTTCTTGTCCTTGGATTGAAGAGAATCGATCGACACTACGTCCTTGAGATCCACATCGAGTGTGTAACGGGTAGGCATGAGGTGCTGGTAATTCACGAGCTTGACGAAGGCCTTAACCCGAGACTTCTTGGCCGTCTTCTTGGCGGAATCCTTCTTGATGACTTTGCTGGGGTACTTCTTGATTCCGGCGACCAAGCAGTGGCCATAAGCGCGGTCGCGCGTACCATCGTCGAAAGTACGCACAATCACGGCCTTACGACCGGCATAGCGTCCTTGAAGGAGGATAACTGCCTTGTTCTGCTTGAGAAACTTGACCATCTTGTCGATTCCCTGAGCTCTGAGTTTCCCTCCGCCTCACACACTCTGGAGAAGAAAACCCTACCTTTGTCCAAAATAAATATACCATTATAAAACCCTAAGAACCGTGGGCTCGTCCAATGGGCCAGCAATCTATCACTGTTATTACTTTGGGCCTACGTTAATTTATATATTCATCTAGTCTTCTCCATTTAATTTCGGGCTCAGCCCACAGATATTGATCATAGAATAATTAATCAATCAATCAGTTGATATATCTTCTGGAAAAAGATAAATGAATTTAGTATCTATAATTTAAATTTAAATTCTTAAAAACCAGCTTCTGTAATTAGTTATTACTATCATTTAAAATTTAATAGTCTCCAAGGTTAAATCTATTGGCGAAATTACCCTACCATATGCAAAGTCACAAGGTAGTTCATGTTTGTTCTCTTGTTCCCAATGCAAGACAGAAGGAAGCAAATTGTGATTATGTTAGCAGGCTTATTATGACTCAATGACTTTGTTTAAGGTCGATGAATGTGACTGTTTCGCCACAAACTCAAAGGGAGACATCTCCAAAGTTTGATCATTGGAAAATGCAAGGATAAACTTACAGGCGGAGCCGAAAATATTTTCACAAGGGGAGAGAAATTCTAAGAGGGATAAAATTTTTTTTAAAAAAAATGAGGGGCCAGAATAAGATACTTTCTAAAGAAAACATCATGTCCATATGCAATGCAGAGAACAAAAATTTCACATGAAACAAAGAAGATAAAAGCTCATTTAATTCTGATTTTCAGTACAAATACAAACTGTGATAGTGTGGTTTATCAATCCTTTAATTCTTCAAAATATATTACAAAGGCTGCCCTCTTTTTGCTATAAGCTTTGGTCCCTTTATAAGGGGAGACATTTGGGTTTATTGTAAGAAACTTAATTGATGCTTTGGTCCCTTTAACATATGATTCTTTGGAGATCAACAGCTATGATAAATCTTCAACACAAACGGATGCGACTACAACATTTATCAGGAATGCTCAATTGCACATACCGAGGAAAACAAAAGTATTTGAAATGGCCTCATTAATGCTTCTATAACAGTTTACATATCACAAAAATACATGCTCTTTTTCTTTTTTTTTAATATTTACCTTGACCACTGAAAAACTTTTGGACTATTTAAACATATTAGCCGATCACAGGCAGCAATATGAAGTCAGTCACATCAAATTGACCAGGATAAAAGAAAAAACAAATGTAGGTGGCCAGGAGGCAGATCAAAGAATAATTCAGCAAGATACTCTTTCGATTTCCTTCATGATGAGCTCCTTTTCCTCCTCAAATTGCTCATCTTCTGAACCTGAAATGACATAAAAGATAAAATAGCAGTGAGTCAGATGCTCAGGAATTGGGAGTGGTAATATAGAATAATCTATAACGAAATAACCTTTTCCAGGGGACAGATCACGCAGCAATTCCAGTAGCTTCTCCCGGTTCTTTGACAATATAATTTTTACTTCTCGTGGTTTATTAGGATTAGCAACAAAAACCTGCATAGAAGTGGCAGAAAAATTGTCCAGGATTATCATCCCTTCAGCACACTTCTACGTTGCAGTATATATTTTCACAAGTCAACTAAAAAAAAAAATCATGCAATCAATAGTAGGAGGTCCAGTAATTACTATTACTATTACTATTATATTCAAAGTTCAAAATAATTTGCCTTCTTTTTTTCATGTTATACACACATCATATGTCTACTAATCACAAATCATAACTATAACGATCTTTGTCAAATATGCAGTTCCTGAAAGTTAGTAAATGAATTGTTAAAAACCAAAAAAAAAAAAAAGTACAAGTTAAGAAAACAAAACAGATAATTACATAAACTCTCTTTTGTGATCTAACTCTGTTGACAAACTTTTAACCGAGCGCTGGAACTGAATGTTACTCAATTTTCAACAAAACCATGATGATCTCATCCGGTAAAGTTGAACATGAAGGGTAAAAATCACCTTGAAAATGTGGAAAGCAGATAACTGAATGTTTTTACTCGAGTCCTGCCCAGTCCAACATCAAAGAATAAAAAACTAACAACCATAAAACAAAGTTGCAGGCATATAGAAGAAAAAATAAAATAAAGGTTATGCTATTAGCATGAATGAAAAACATAATATCAAGCATATTATAACTTTGGACGTTCATAATTAAATTGACGAGTATAAGCTCAGTTTAACACGCCAATCACATCAAGAAACTGACCAAACAAAAAATTTACAAAACATATTCAAGTTCAAACTATTCGCTCCTTGACATATCCAGTATCGAAAATGATGCCACAATAAACTGGAACTAGGAGAACATGTGGTGAATGAATACTAAAACGAGAAAATCAGATCCGGTGGATAAGATGAGCTTTCTCCGTCACTAGGTACGCAGATTGGATCCAAGAGAAAAACCAAGCTGTAACCACCCAAAGACAAGTATGGAGACATACAGTAGCCAAAAGATGCTCAATTATTCATTTACCAGGCAGCTCATAGTCTCTAAAGAAGTAAGCAAATTGATTGAGAAAAATCCGATTAGTCATGGAGAGAAAAGAATATTACAAAATGAAGATAAATTATACCCTCAACAATGTCATCATGACTTTCAGGTAACGGACTTCTAAGATGTAGCGTTTCATTACGTGGGAATTTGGAGCCTCCAAAAGAAAGTCTGAGAGAAGCTAAAATCCACATACATCTAACTGTCAAAAATCCCGTAGATCAAAAGATTATCAGAAACCAAAATATGGAAAATCAATAGAACTAACCTTTAAAGACTGCCTCCTTGTGACATAATTAGGAGATGTCAACAGTTTCTCATATAAATCAAAGAACTGGAACAAGAAGTCCTATTAGAAAAGCAGCAATATAATATGGGCAATAAAAACACCCCAGTAACGAGTCTGCATCATGCACATGCTCAAAGATAATATAGCCATCTAGGCGCACTTGACTATCTGCCAAAGAATAGCTATCCAGATGATATGTTCAAATAAATGAAATGAGAACACAAACCTCATCATAATGAGCCGTCAAAAATTCAGAGACCACTTTTTGATGTCTAGTAAGAAGATCCTACAAAACAAATCCTCAGAGATGTATAACGGGGTAAGTACAATAAAAAGGAAGAAGTAAGAAGAGTTCAGGTCTAACCTTAAGAGTAGAAAAAGCATCAGAAGCAACATCAAAGGTAGGCAACTCAACAAATTTAAAGAACAGTACGAAGCTTGCAGACTCCAATATGTATCTGGAAAAATACAAAATTAGAATTTTGAAATGGAGTAGCTAGCCTTCCAGATAGACTGCATGGCAAGGACCAATCTCAAAAGGCACATTAATAGTTAAAATCATCAATCAGTTTTTACTATCTAAATATTTATTATTCCTCCGGACCTAAATATAGAACCCATTTTGTAGTGTAAATTACACTACAAAATAGATCTTATATTTAGGATCGAAGGAGTAACTATTACTAAAATTCAGAAGAAAGAAGGATATGACAATAGTGGGTATTACAAGCCATATGTATGGTATATCATTGGCTCCGTTAGAAAATAATTATCATTTAAGGTCATGTATATAGATTTAAAAAACCTATCGAATAGACTAGAATGCAGATTGAGGCAAAATCTAACTGGTTTTTCATTAAAATACCCTTGTATTAAAATATTGCAGCACCTAAGCTCCACCAATCATTATTTTCATTACTGAAGGATAACATAGTACAAAAATAATTAACATTACAAAAAAAAAACCTCTAAAATGACAATCATTTTGAAACAAAGGAAGCACTAGAAACAAGGGGGATCAAGTTTAGCGGAAGAGGCTAATCTCTCAAAACATGATAAACCAAGGTTCAAATCCCTTTGGCAGAGGTGCCCACATTTAGTACCTGACTGTGCCTTAAATACAATTGCCTTCAATAGTAGAATGCCTATGATTGGCCCAAAAAAAAAAAAAGGAAGCACTAGAGAAATAACAACTATTCATTGACCTTCACTTTATAGCTTGAGCTAGTTAAAGTGGTCTTTACCTTAGCATCAGCTTCTTTGACCAAGGTCACAGGTTCAATCCCTTCCATGGCCCATTTTCTGAATTGTTTTTAGACATTAATTATATAAATTATAAGTAAATCTGAACACAATGTTCGGTTGGCCTATGTTTGATTCATACTTCAAGCCTAGGTTTTGATATGAGGGAGCGTGTTGGAGATCAATAGAAACTATTCATGAGTCCTCACTTAACAACTTAAGCTTACAAAAACTGTTCATGGGCTTCACTTATTAGCTCCAGCTTTCAAATTGAACTTATCCCTGACAAATACCTTTCAAAATTATTAAACTCCAGTTAGATTTTACTCAAACTCTTTGGTTATGATAATTAATCGAACTATGTACACTTAATCTTTTAACAGAACTTGGGAATTCTTTCAATGATTTTTAAAAGAAAAAAGGCAGTTCAAATGAAAAAAGGACTAATTTTAGTAAAACATTTTTGGGAGCACAGAATAGAAATGTCCTAGATAGATACCCTCCTACCTTAACACCATTCATTCTCTCCTAATCCTAATCATATAACATTCTCCTTGAAATAAAGCCAAAACCTTTTAAAAGAATGAATTTTGTGACACTCAAACATGACCACAAGAAAATACCAAAATATTACAAAGTCCCTGATCCTCAAGTAAGGAATCACAAAGGACACGTGAAAATGGAAAATATTTAAGGCCACCATGATGTCAATACTAAGATGATGACAAGAAAAGATGCAGAAGTTCATGCATCGTTGAACATCGCCAATTTATACACATGCAAGCATGCACAAAATTCATTGTTACAATTCAATTAATTTTTCTTCATATGATGCTAAAAATTTCTCTTGTTAAAAAAAGAACAGAAAATGCACGTGAATTTCCTGCAAGTTTGATGAGCCTACAATGGAGATGAAGATACCAGAAAGGAGTAAAACATAAAAAGCTGAAGGAAGGAAAAATTGACAATCTAGGAATATCCTGCCTGGTAAGTGTCGGAAATTTGGCACATTCCCGCAACATCAGTCCACAGGTCAACGCAATTTCCTTGTTGTCATAGCTGCTAGGATGAAGAGACATACAGGATGCATGAGCAGCTATTTGGACTTACAATAATAACACTTAGTAAGGATATAGTTTCCGTAATTAGCCATGAATCTTAAAGTGTTTGGGAATGCTAAGAGATTATCCATATCAATAAAAGTCATTTTCAGTTTTTCACTATTATTGGTTTAGAAATAAGTATGAAACAAATTGATTTTTGAGAGTACAATCATGCTTAAAGAGTTGTAAGTGAACTTGTTTTTGTTTAAGCATAAGAGAAAATCAATTTCTAACATCTAGTCACAGAAAATGGGCATAGAATTGGCATGGTTTGTCTAAAACCAACGCATTTGGGGTAACTTAGTCTAATTGTGTATGTATAATAAAGGCAAAAACAACTTAGGCAAGAGTCAAAAGAAGGTTGAACCTCCATATACTGCAACCAATTTTTTCACAATCACTTTTATTAGAATCCTTTAGGAGGAATTTGCAGAAGCGGAGGGAAGAGGAAATCTAGTTTAGATATTCTCATTAGTTTAGATTTAATCAAACCTTTCTTTCCCATAGAATAATTTTGATTGAGGAGAACGGATGAGAAGATAAGGGAGGAAAAGATTTCTGTTCAAATCTGAAACAAAACAAATGCTCGAATCAACATTACCTTACCTTCTAATATATATTCTCCTCAATCCAAACATACACAGGTAGATTCCAATTAAAAACAATAAAAAAAGAATAACTTTTGGGGACAAAACAATCATTTTGGGATGCCAAAATGTAATTTTAGACCACCTTTAACAAGGAATATCGTCAAATTTTATCCATTGTTTCTCTCGTAAGGCAAATGAGGTTAGCCAGTACTAGTTTTGCCCCCAAATTTCTAGAGCAGAACGGATTTTGATTTGGGGTCTTAGCAGCAAATTTACAACTTCAAAGATACTAATGCAAAATTACATAACCATAAGTGTCCTGCTAATGAATTTCTTTGAGGAATGTAAATATAGTGATAGAATAGATTAGAACAGTAAGGAAGAGGTGGTCAATGTGGGACAAAATCTTTCAAAATGGAAGCAAAACTCTATACTATCAATTTTACATTCTAAAAGTAGTGGACATACATACATATTTTCTAAGAGTGAACAAAGCATAATAGGTATGACATTGCACTTGGCATTTATTTATGACTCTTAAATGTAAAAACTATTTTAGGGGTAAAAAAAAAAAATGACAGTTTAGTTTCTTTGTCCCCAAGGTAGTTAACTCTAACATGATCGTATGTTCTCCTTCACTAGCCTCTTGCAACATCATATTCGTAGTCCAAGAAACAAAATTGCTTCCAATTTGGCACATATTATTAATTTTATACCTTCCAACTTTGCAAGCCCGGAATTTCACATGAGATATCTATAACTTGGAAAAGTATGACTTTGGGAGAAGAGGAAAGAAATGAGGGGAAAAGCAGTTCAAACTTTAGGGAAAATAGATATGATGCACCAAACAACTTACCATACCACAAGAAAGTCTAGCAACTCAGCGTGTTGTTCAAGGTATTCTACACAACAGTATTTGGAATCAACCTTATGTTTCAACAATATGGACCAGCAATGGACTAAATCTTTTCTTGCCTGTATCAGAATTCACATTACTATAATCAGAAACCATTTTGGCCAACTGAACATTTTAGCGCTTGGTATCAATCTAAATCTTACTTCCCATCCCAGAGTTGGCAGCTTGTGAATTAGAAGATCAATAACATCCTCTTTGCAAACTTCATCTACAAGCTGGGTAACCTGATCCATGTTTGGTTCTGATTCCCCATCTCCAGAAAGCATGCACCTCATTGTCGCAAAGTTCTTCTCAACTTCCTCTAAAGCCTTTGATGAAGCATAAAAAAATAAATAATCTAATATAAAATAACTACAGTCAACAAAATGTTTGCACCTCTAGGTCATTATTTCTTCATTTTCTTCCCAGAAAAAGATGGCAGTAACTGGAAGCATTCCTGAGATGGAAGCTAAACAACTACCTCTCTGATATCCTTTGAGATGATTAAGAACCAGATATAAACCAGTTATGTACCAACCAAATTATAATAATTTCGTCTTCAGATTAATGTAGTTGTTTATTTTGTAGATGCTCTCTGAATTAAAGTGTTAAGTTCGCAAGTTCACACATTGCGAGCTTGCAACCACCACGTGTAGTATTACCACAGATGTTACAACAAGATTAATGAAGGGAAGTAATACATCCTTCTATTTTTCAAGTTATATTCTCTGTGCCTTCTTTTATTTCCTTAACAGGTTTCAGTTATATTAGTTTCATAATCTAATGAACGAATGACTTGTACTTGAAATGGTAAAGAGAACTCTCGCTTGATTCTGATTTTGCGTTTGCAATACAAGCTGCTTGTTTACTAACTCCGTACACCATTTGGATAAACAAGGGACTTATCTAGAAAACTTCATTTATAAGATATACAAAAGGGAAACCAGCCAACTTCCATTAGGAAACTTCTAAGAGCCAAAATCAGAGCATCCGCTGTTTGGAAAACATGCACATAGAAAAGCTGAAAGCTTGAAATCCTTTCTGCAGAGTGCTACTCCACCAATAATGCCACTCAAATAAAACAATTCATGTGATCACAAAAATTAAAAATAAACAATTAAGATATCACAGAAAGTTGCATTAATATTCCATTAAGAAAAAAGAAGGGGGGAAACAAGCACGTCCGCGTGTAACACAGAATATTCATAGCACAACACATGGTGGTGACAAAAAGTGCCCTTTAAAAGGAACAATCCGCATGATACAACTCAAGAAATTTATAATTATCAGCAAATCAAGTCCGCACATTTGGCTAAGAAATGAAAGCTTAAAAACAGTACTAAGGATTCGGATCGAAAAGGATGAAGATTGAGTGAGTCAACCAACGTGAACACCATTGAAATTGTTATGCGAAAAAAGTAATAGCAGAACACAGAATAGAAGCAAAACCTTCTCGAGAGCTTTAACTTCAACAACAGTCTTGGTATCGAGGGCATTAAGACTGTCCTTGATAGACCTGGCCACCTCCTGTGGCGTTTTAGGCCTCGCCTTAAAGAACGAGAATGACATGAAGATCGGTTCCGCAATGAACTCCCTCTCGTTCTCTTTTCGCTTTCCCTTTTTGCTTGCTCCTTCCTTAACTGATGATCTTCGCGCGCAATATGCAGCTGATGTTGATGGACTTGCTTCTCTTTTGGAATTTTTCTGGTCGTAATTGTCAATTACTCATCGCCATTGTGGATTATTGCGAGCTTCGATTCGACGAGCGAGATGAATATTCGAATGGTTCTCATTTTGATTTTTCAACTCGTAACGTGACTCGGTTGCTGTGGCTCATGACTCGCGGCTTTTCATCATTGTGTCCAAATTTCAACACGAGACGAAAATATACCAGCCTTACTTTGAAAAATAATAATAATAATAATAATAATAATAATAATAATAAATCTTTATCTAAAAATTTGAGTTTCTTAGCAGAAAATAATTTTATAAAATTTTTTAAATATATATAGTGTTGTCTCAAATTAAGATATAAAACAAATTTTTGTAAACATCTATCTATAAAGTTTAAAAAAAAAAAAACTCTGCAAAGCATGAGCCAAGTCTGATTTTTACAAATTTGGTAAGCTTCCACCCACTCGCATAAAAATCTTTGGCATTATCATTATTATTACTGTGTCAATATAAAAATTATTATTTAATGGAATTTTCAAAATTTGCAGTTAATCAGATTATGGACGTGGTTTGTTTATAGATTTTTATTATACTACCTTATATTCTTAATATAAAACTTCGTTTGATTTTTATTTTGATTCTAAATATAAGATCTAGTTTGATTTTATCTCTCATATTTATACATTTTTTCTCAATATAGTCCTTCTAATAATGATAATCTAGTCAATACATTTGATTAGCAAAGATATTTTAAGAAAGACAACACATCTTTATTATAAATTACTAACTTAACTTATTTTCTTAACATACTCAAATTAGTCAACTAGGTCTTATATTTAGGATAAGAGGTAGTGCATAAATATATAGATAGATTGATTAATTATTTATTAGTTTTTAAAAATAAAATGGCGGTATATATATTTCTGTCAACTTCAGGTCTGATTCTATGGGAATTTGGAATTGGCGGGCTTGAACGTGTAATTTTATACTGGAATAAATAGGGCGCAAACGAGTTGACTTGTTAAAAAAGAAAACCTACCTGTAACTTGTTTTCAAAGGTATGGCTGACTTGTCTCATAAGATAAGCTATTACCATATGTAGTATTTGCTAGCTATAGATTACTCAGCCATGCGTATAAATAAGGTAACTTGGGATAGAATAACTACAACATCAAATTCTTAATATAAGAGCTACTTGAAAAGTTAGATTTTGTTCTAAATATAATATATTTATCTTATTTTTTCAAAATATCATTATTGATTGATTGTAAGGGGTCGAGTTCTCATCAATAATACATTTTATCATCCATTATATATGATTGAAGAAAATAATTTATAAAGACCAATATATGTTTATGATAAATAACTAATTTAACCAATTTATTTAATATCTCGATTAAGAACCGTAGGTAGTAGCTAACTAGTAATTAAACAATAATATATGATGGGAGTGCTAATATAAATGGCTTATGATCATATTTCATGAGCTATAATAATTCATTCCACTAGTATTGACTTAATATTACTTCATGTCCTTAATAATAGTATCAGAATTATTTAACTAATTTAAATAAATTAAAAAAATTAGTTTAGTTATTTGTAATAGATGTATATTATTTTTGTTAGGATGCTCTTTAACCATGCTCTCTACTAGTCTCGTTTACTCATGCTCTCTCTAGTTGATATAAAACCTCACACCCCAATCACCACGTAATGACTTAAACCTTCACAACTATAGGATTTTTCATATCAATTTGTGAAAAATACTATCTCTAATCCTAAATATAAGATTTAATTTGTAGTGCAAAAGACATTACACATTAGATCTTAGACTTAGGATAGATAGTAATGTATTTTTTTTTGGCCAAAAGATAGTAATGTATTATAAAGCATAGACTAATATCTTAAATTTACGTCAATATGTAAAGTAACCTATGTATGTAAAAAGTGAAATTTACGCCACCTTTAATAATTAGCATAAGATTTGGTTTTGCCTCCAAATCTGTTTGATTTTAATTTCCATTTCATTGTCAAATAAGCCTACTTTATGTTTACTTTGAGAGTGACTAGAAGACGTGCACTAATTCCCGGACCATACATATTCATTGGAGCGATGAAAAAGAATAAGCAAACAAGGATTTCGAGGGAGGGTGGCAAAAGTAGTTACTCTGACGGTTATTAATATAAAATCTATTTAACTAATTTGATTGGATTAAAAAATTTAAGTAAGTTATTTAATTATAAAAAATGACTTCTTCTTTTTTCCTAAAACATCATAATCATCTTTCTTAATATCCTATCTCCCTCTTCTACTTGATTATGGTTGAAAGAATATCCATAAGGACAATTTAAAAAAAACTGATAAATATGATAAATTAGTTTTATATCTGGGATCAAAAGCAACTTAATAATTAGATCTCATATTAAGGACCAGAGAAGTATTAATTAATAAGTAAACAAATAAGTTCTCACCATGTGCCAAGCTAATTCATTTAATCTTCAAGGTTGGAGCAGTTTTGTGTTTTGATAAAGCTCACGTTCAACTTTATTATTAATTTCATCATATATTTACACAACACTCCCACACCATATGTAGTTAGTACTACGTACCTACTATGCTAATTATAATATTTCATTTGTAGTCTATAAATGAGATCTTACTTTTAAAACCAGAGATAATAATTAAAAAAAATTAAAATAAAACGAATCAGTCGTACCAAAAAAAATAAAATTAAAAGGATTTACAACAACTTCTCTCCTTGCCTACAAATTTACATTGCTCTTCGTCTAGGAAGAGGTCGTATACATATATATAGATCATTCTTCTCACACCCAAAAACCCTACACATCATCCTTTTCTCCTCTACTCAACAATATGTCATTTGATGAATTACAAAACTGTCCTCCCCCGCCCACACACATACACACACGCACAACTTTCCCTCATCACGTTTCTGCATATATTTGCACGCTTGCGTGTGTCCCTGGCCATTGCGAAAACTCGACCTTTAATTTCTCTAAAGATTAAATCCTGACCGTTGCATATATATATGTACCTATAAGAACATGATATTTGTTCGTGCCATGCATGCGTCGTCTTCTTCTTCATCATTCTTCCAGAAAGTGTCTGGACGACCTGTACAGATCGTAAGGTGCCCAAAGGTGGTCGACGATGCATGGCTTTCTGGAGTCCAACCTGAGCCATGGCTTGCCCTTGCCACTCCAATGTAATAAACTGATCGGACCAGGGTGCAAGCTCCTGCACTTACCTTCAAAATTGTCACCACCGAGCCCGTGCTGATTCCACCGGTGATCCACCGCCTTTATGTTTCCGGCCAACACCAGCAAAAATGGCGGAAGTGAACCTAAGTTATATATCTTCTTCTCCTTCTGCACTTTCATCCACTCCTCCACTTTCTGTGTAAACCCTTCTTTTCTCCATTTCTCTACGTCCATCACCATCACCCCTGTGTTGAAGTAACACGCGTTTCTACCATCGAACGTCTTCGTTAGGTAAGGATCTGACCAGAAGTTGCTCGTGAAATATACAGTGAAGTTAGCGCGGCAATATTCCGGTGCGGCGACGACCTTCCCTTCCATGTCTACACCCCAGAGTTTGGCTATATCGTCGACGACGATGAGGTCTGAGTCTAGGTATATTACACGTCTTACTTCTTTTGGTAAAGCGTCTGCGAGGTAGATTCTTGCGTAGTTTAATGGCTGGTCTAGGGCTAATCGGATGGACTTTGAGATTTTTCCTTGAACGCGGGTTGAATCGAAGCGGGAGATGTTGAAGTTGAGGTAAGGGAAGGTGGATTTGATGCTGTTGTAAAGCTCAGGGTCGTCACGAGCGGAGAGGAAATAGAAAGAGAGGTTTTCTGGGCACGTGGAATGTTGCAGCATCGATTGCACGGCGGCCATGGTTCCCCGGAGGTAGTTTTCGTCGAGGGTCATGGCCACGTGGATGCGGTCGGCGTCATTGGAGCCGCATTCACCGCCGTTGCGGAATGCGGGGGCTTCCCGGAAGAGAGGGAGGTCTGATGAGGAGGAGGAGGGGTGATGGCGGACGCCACGGAGGCGGATGGCGGCTGCGCTGGAGATGGGGTGGAGGACGACGAGGGACAGGAGGCCAAAGAGTAGAGGAAGAGAGGCCATCCTGTCTCCAAGAGATTTTTTTTTTTGGCTCTCTGGTTTCTTCGTCCTCTTTCTGTTTCTTTTTATTGTTGGTGTAGGTGTTTTCTTATTGTTTTCTAAAGGAGGACTAAGGTTTTGGGAAATTTAAGAAAGAATGTAAATGGTTTGGAATGAGAGATGGAGAATGATCGAAATCTGATGATAAAGAGGTAATGTTCATATCTCAAGGGGTTAGGAGTAAGCGAGTTTATGGAAGAGAGAAATTGTCGGAATTTGCTTTTGGACTAGGAATGGACTAATTTTGGTCGTATAGCCGGCAAAGGGAGTCAAACAATGTAGATTTTTTTTTTTCTTTGCTATTGACTGATTCGTTTGTTTATTTCATTAGTAATAATAAAAATAATATTACCTCTTATTCTTAATATAAGAGTTAGTTCACTAATTTGAGTCGATTAAGAAAATTTATTAAATTAGTTACTTGTAATAAATAGGTGTTGTTTTTTCTAGAATATCAGTACTAATTAAATGTATTAACTAAAACTACTATTAGTATAAGAATTATCTTGAAAAAAAGTAGATAAATATGATAGATAAAATGAATTGGGATCTTATATTTAAAACTAAAATAAAAGTCAAAAAAAATTTTATTTTAAGGAGGAGTAGTAGTTTGTTTTTTATTGTAGACATTTTTCAAATAAGAAAACCATGCGCCAAAATAATATGACATGGAGGATATGACACTTTCTAAAATTTTCAAAAAGAAGAGTGTTTTATAATTTTTATAATTATTTATATGTAAAAACAGAAAATAAATATATTTATAAAAAAAAGAAGAGTATTTTCTATTGAAAATTATAAGATAAATGTTAAAATAAACTATGTGCATGAATAGAATAT